TCTGAAATGAACCCTTTTTTAAAAAAATGCTTAATGAGCGACATCTAATTTGAACTGCAAAGGCATCAACAACTGCACTCTGATAGTAACCTCTGCTCGTTTGAAATGATCAACTATTTGCCAATGACATTGCTGGAGCCAACTCAATAGATATCTAAAGTTTATTTTTTCATTCAAGATTATTTAGTTCTTTCGTGGAATGAATAAGTTGTAGTCACTAGTGTTAACATTATAGAAGTAGCGATAAGCATTTTTTTGAAAATGATATCCGGTTTTTGCTGGTTGTCGATCGTATATATAACATATCTGTCAAATCTAACCTTTTCTCTCACAGAATGTCTCCCCAGCATTGCTCTTAAGGTTCTTGCGAGAACACCGATCAGAATGGGCAGACAGCAGTATTGATGCTTACTCTGCTGTAGCTGTCAAAGCTACTCCTTGCACTTTACCTGCATCCCAGTTTGCAGGCTTTGGGGGCCAGGTTATACTTCCTTTGGCTCATACACTTGAGAATGAAGAAGTAAGAAATCATTCTTTTTTACGTAAAGGTCATTATCAGTCATTTACCGATTTTGTGGTGTTTTTCATTTTTCTGTGATTCTGTTGTGCTTTTCTGTTTCCCACTCATTTCTATGTTGTTATCACTGTGTTTACAGTTCTTGGAGGTCCTTAAGTTAGAGAATATCGGCCATATTCATGATGCTCCTATGCCTAGAGATCTGTTTCTCCTTCAAGTAAGTCAACTGTGCACGTATTATGTTTTTGTTATGTGAGACAGATTTGACAGTGGTGACTTTTCATGTTCCTTTAAATTTCAGTAAAAAATATGGAAGTTAAAAGAGATCAACTTTGCATCATTTTCTGACAGCATGTGAAAAAATTAGAACATCTTAGTATTAAGACTAAATGCTGAACCAGGAGTTTGTACATCAACCAATATCGTTTGGACATATATGCTTGTAAGATGAGAAAACTAATATTTGCATTGCAACTAGAATGAATAAGAAAATTGAATTGTCTTCAACCTGAAGTAGATTATTTGCAAGACAATTGTATTTATTTGTGGCTTCTCAAAATAAATTCGTTTTAGTTTTTGGAAGTTAAAGTATATAAATGTAGGGATGGGGTATGATGCTCATGCTATCAACTGTTTTCTCAGGTCTGCAGTGGCGTGGATGAGAATGCTATAGGCAACTGTTCTGAGCTAGTCTTTGCCCCAATTGATGCATCTTTTGCAGATGATGCCCCTTTATTGCCTTCTGGTTTTCGCATTATTCCCCTTGACTCTGTGAATGTGAGTCATTTATAACAGCGACATGGAATCAAATCTCTAATTGTATGTTGATATATGTTAATTACTAATTACAACATTTCTTTTGTGAACAAGTCTTTGGAGTTTAACTTGGTTATATGTATTCTGGACCCCTTGTTTTGTCATTACAAGATATTTTCTGATGCAGGAAAACTCGAGTCCAAATCGCACTCTAGACCTTGCTTCTGCTCTTGAAGTTGGACAAACAAAAAGCAAAGTTGGTGGTGATTCAGCTGGCACTTGTGGTAGCATGAAGTCTGTGATGACAATAGCATTCCAATTTGCTTATGAGAATAACCTCCAAGAAAATGTGGCGACCATGGCAAGGCAATACATCCGCAAGATAATATCATCTGTCCAGAGGGTTGCTTTGGCACTCTCACCTTCTCGTCTTGGTTGCAATGGAGTGCTCCACCCACCACCAGGAAGTCCTGAGGCAGTCACACTTGCTCGGTGGATCTGTAATAGCTATAGGTAAGACATCAATCCATTGCAGTACCATAAAATTTGGTATAAAGAACCATATTGCTTGTGGTATGCGTGTATTTTTTGTATGTTGATCACCTGTTTAACTTTATTTTTCTGATATACTATGGATTGAGCTACTCACACAGCACACCAAAAATACTTTCTGGTTAGAATATTAATGGTGGCTGACTCTGAAATAATTGAAGCCTCTTCAGCCTAACATAGAAGTATTACATGTTTAATGTTTGTGAGCATAATATCAGAGGACGGGTCAGCCTTTCCTAGTGTGGAACTCTTCAGATGTATAAATTTCTCCCAAGCAAGCTAAATATCATAGTATCAAGACGGAATCATATCTAAAACCTAAACAAAAAAAGGAAGAGAGAGAGAGGAAGGTGAGGGGAAGGACCTGTCATAGATTGTGTTAGCTCAAATTTCACCAGTTCATGCAGTAAGACCTACGTAGATACCTCTGACAAACAGAAATAATATTTTCTTCAATTATCTTATATAACTTCTGATTATTGGTCAGGTGTAATTCTGGAGTTGATCTTTTTAAACCCACTGCTGAAGGAAGTGATTCACTTCTTAAAACACTTTGGCATCATGCAGATGCTATTATGTGCTGTTCTCTGAAGGTTTGCACGTCTTTCTCCAGTTTATTTTATTTTGCTAATGGCCACCAAGATATCATGATAATGTTTATGCTCTTATTTTCTTGAAGTTTTTACAAACTTTAATAATTTTGTTAGGGAAAATTGCATCTAGCCCATTGAGATTTAAAAGTAATGCTTCCTCCCCCAAGAAAAGATTCTAATGTCTTTACCCCCCTAAACTTTGAAAATTTATAACTACTCCCCTTGTCCCCACGAACATTCTTAATTATTCTGAAAATACCTTTTCCAATTTTCGATTTCAACCTCACAGCAACCCTCCACCACCTCTCTCCTTGCCGTGCCCCTTCGCTGCTTGCCAGCGATCTCTCCTAGGCCACCTCTTACCGTTGATTTCTCCTTCTGCAAAATTAATGATAAAAACTTTCCAATTAGGACAGTAATTCAACAGTGAGAGACGGTCCCAATCCAGGAAAGATTACCATTTACTTTGTAATTTTGTAATTCATTTACGGGTTCAATTCCTCGTGTTATTGATGAATTTACTTCATTAACGCTTCTCTGCCTCAATAACGACGAGCTTGTAGGCTTAATCCCTGAGAATTTGATATTTTTGCCTGAGCTCCAGTCATTGCAAGTGGATAACAGTAGGCTAATAGTTCCAATTCCAATGGTTAAATTCAATTTACAAATGCTTATAATTCATTTTGTTAGTCTATTCCGGGGTTTCTTGCTAACCAAAGGTAACTGCACTCTTCGATTTTCTCAGTAGTTCAGGCTTTGACAAAATCATTGTCTGGTAATGATCTTTGTTCTACGTGCATTGGGTATATCTTGTTCTAATGATAAGTTTTACTGATTATTTTGCCGGAGGAGAGATGACGGTGGGAGGCAGCCCAAGATAGATCCCCGGCGGGTGGCAGCAGGAGTGGGGCAAGGAGAGGGGTGATGGCTGAGAAAGGTTGAGAGGTTGAAGATGAAGATCTGAAAAAGGTTATCTTTGAGATAATGTAAAATGTTAGTGAGGACAAGGGATGCAAGTGTATAATTTCGAAGGCTAGGGAGGTAAAGATATTAGATTCTTTTCTTGGGGGGAGGAAGCATGACTCTTAAATCTCAAGGGACTAAGGCAATTTTCCCATTTCATTATTGAATTAAGTTCAGGTTCAAGTCGTTCAGATAATCCTCAGCTATAAATCTTTTCAGTCCTTTAGTCTTGTCATTTATGTAGGTGTCCTTTTTTAAACCTTAACATGATTAGAACATTTTTCTATTTACTCGATAGTTGCATCTGCTTATACATGCACGCAGGTCATGTGACACTTGCCAATTTTGCACAGATCCTGCTCATCAAGAGAAGTTGTTTCATCCTCTTTTTCACATAGGTTCACCTAGGTTTTCCTTGCCCCCCATGAGTCCTACATAGTCCTCTCTATTGCAACTGTATCATAATTTTACTGTATTCTAGGCCATTAGCTGCTTCCCGTGTAAATTTAGAGGAATGTCTTTTCTTAAAGAAGTACATGATTTTGTAGGAATTATGATAGAGAATATTGTATGCTAGTAACAATACTTTGTAAATATTTGAAGGCTTGAAGCATCAATGTTAATGGAATTGAGAGGGGGGGGGGGATAGGAAATTTGAAGCATCAATGTTAATGGAATTGAGAGGGGGGGGGGGATAGGAAATTTAAAAGTTGGAGAAGAACTGTATTGGAGTATGGAGACAAAATTTATGGTTATATATGTCAAAGAAACGTATAGCCACTGGACATGATTGTTCCATGTATTAGCAAAAGTGAGATTTTTTTACTTCTGAAATGAGCAGCTAGTTTTAAGACTATTATGGTCTCTAGATTTTGAAGGCGATTATCATGCTAAAAATCTATCATGATTTCATGATTGAAATAAGTACATTTTTTTTGGGAACAAATCAAGTTATTAGAAGATAAAAAGGGAATTGGCGTGAAAGACAGATGGGAGCTAGTGGCCTCAGGCTAGGAACAGAGAATAACTGTTAAGAACTGTGACAACTACCCACTAACATATATAAGGAAGGTAACGAAATAAGGATCCTATCAGAACTATCTCTAAAGGATTGGGATGGTTTGCATACTTTGCATCATAGACACAAGAGGAAAAATTTCCCAAACTAACCCTCAATCACTCGTGAATAGTATAGAGCACTCTATTCTATTCTATTCTATTCTATGGGGGTGTTCTGGTAGAATCTACACTCGAAGGTAACTAAATTAAGAATTACCTAATCATATCTAAAATCTGCTACTGAGTTGTTTAGCATAACTTGGAGGAGAAAAGATATTCATATGAGGACATAATTGCCTTCTCGGAGGCGTAGTAGAAATATGCATATGATGCTCAAAATTTCGGAAAATTTGACAAGGGAAGATGCAAAATGTCGTTGAATCTGCTTGATGATGCGATATTTCAGGTTCTCCCACTGTGCTAATAATCTACGAGACCATGAGGTTAGACATAGTAAAGTCTTGTGTCCCGAAACGATGCTTGATTTTTTCTCGAATGCCCTTCAAGTGTCTAGAAGATTTCCTTAAGTTTCCAAGTGACTGATGTGTAGTAATTGATGTGGGTAGATCTTGTATGACTTTTATGTGAGATGAACTGTCCATCTTACGTATAAATGGGGATCTCAGCTTTCTTTGATGAGGCAGCTCTGATTGGGTGCTTGTGAGTTTGCAAATAGGAGTGGGTAGTGTTGGTGCACGACACCTGCAACCGGACGACTGGTCATAGTGCTCCAACCCGCGATCAATGCGGAAGCATTGCCTTCGAAATCGATAAATCCGAAAAAAGGAACAAGAGCACAAAGACAAGGCATTTACATGGTTCGTGGATTGCCTGCATCCATGGGGATTGATTTGAGTTTTCTTTTATCCTAGAGACTAAGATAAACTATTCAGATGATCTAGATAGATCCCACACGAGGCCCTCTCTCATCTCACTGAAAGATCTCTCACAAACTCTAGTTTTATCCATTTAGCTCTCTCTACTTCTCTCTTACAATATGCAAGTCTCCTTAGAATGTTCCCCTATAGCCCTAGACCTAGAAAGCCCCTCTAAAACCGGATACAATATCATATAGGAGTCCTAACCTGAATAAAATTCTGAAACAGGCCAAATCTAGAAAGGATCAACTGAAGGTCGGACCGGCCGGTATACCAGCCGGTCCCGCAGCCACTGCTCGTCGTTTCACCTCGTTCTACCGTGTTTCACTTCTCACTTGATTCCGACTCTTCTGTTGTCTCTAGGGCTGAAATACAAGGCTATTTTCCAACATGTAGTTTCTTAGTAACTACTGGCCTTGTTGACATCGATACATATATAAATGCCACAGGCTGATACACAGGAAGTTCCAAAAGTTACGAACAGCACAGGTGTCAAACATGTGTCTAAATCATGATAGAAAGGCCTGTGCTATATAATTGATGACTTTTCCACCTTTGGTTTTCTGCCATTTTATGTTTTTAATTTCCTGAAAGCTTGATTTGAAGCCTTCAGCAAACTCTCAATGCATACATCTTTCTTTGATTATCCTGCATCAGTTCTGCCAATAGAGCAGAGATTTCTGATAATGTCAATGGTGAATAATCCATGGTCGAATGCCATGAATCACACTATAACAGAATGGAGGAAAGAGTAAAACATAAGTTCTCTCTCCTGCAAAGTTGTTTTCTTTTAGCGTGCATTCATAATAATTAATAAATGTGTTGTTTTTGTGCATACAAGGTCCATCTTCATCCATTTGATCATCACAATCCATAACAATTTTATGGCATTCATTTCATCACCTATATTCTAAAGCTAACTATTTATGAAATGTTTAGGTCTAGTAAGAATGTCAATCCACCAACATAGCATGATTTGCTGTCAGTATATTCTATAACCGTCTTGGTATGAGATGTTTTATGTATGTATAGTCAGAACAAGAGAATCGACTTGGTATGAGATGTTTTATGTATGTATAGTCAGAATAAGTCAAAAATGTCAAATACAGACAAGACATGGTTCTTAGGTATGTGCATTATGGTATGATACAATATTTTGCCGATAGAAAAGGAGGAAGTTGACTATTCATCTTCGAGCAGAAAGTATTAGCAGGCCATGGCTCAATAACCTCTCTCATTGCCTGAGTGCCAATAAGAAAAGCAGTGAGAATAATCATCTCTTAAGGAAACTGAATGGCTTTATCCAATCTGGACGGTTGATGTGACCTTGGAATTTGGAGGTCTTCAGTTTCTCCAAAGTGAGCAATATGGTTGAAGATGCTTCCAATCTAAAGGTTGTTGGAGGGATGCGAGGGGTTCATACAGAATGTTAGAATGTTATTATGACAAAGGGATATCAAGCATGCATCCAGTTAACAGTATACTTCCTATCAATTTAGAGGGAAAGAATTCTTTGAACAACGCATTCCATTCTTCTTTGCGTATGTATTGCAATGCAGAGGACTTCAATTCCCTGTCGCAGATCATCATCTTTCCTATATAAATAGATTACTTTTTGTCTAAGATACATGAGGATTTATGAGACTGTTGAAGGGAACAGGTTCTATCCCCATGATAAATTAGTTGCATGCAACATTAATAGGTTGTTTTTTTTCATGCATTGGGAGAATGAAGGGCTGGTCTTTGGACTTTCCCATGCAATGAATGTGGTGTACCCAAGAGGCATATCCTCCCTATAAATAGAGGGGAGACGATGAAGGTTGAAAACAAGAAGCAAGAACAAGAACCACATACAACCTGTAATTCTCAAGTGAGTTTGAGAGAAAGTGATCCTCAAGTTAAGTTATACTAATTTGAGAGAAGATTATTTGTAAGCTTTCATTTGATTATTAATGGAAACGGTGAAGAAGGGGCGGGTGAGGACGTAGGCTCAAATTGAGCCGAACCTCGGTAAATCTTGTGTGTAATCTTTCTCTCTGTTTGTTTTTCTCTTCTATTTTTTATTATCATCTCATCACAAAGGCGAAAAAGTTCTTGTCC